TTCTGACTGGAGGGGAGCTTTAAGATTTTAAGATGATATTAAAGAAATAACAAACTGAAACATCAACAAATAAGCAACCTCACTATAAAAAGGTTTCAGAATCTCTGCCACAGCTAATGAGGTCAATCTCTGTACATGCTGGCCCTGCACTACGAAGTTCACTGTTCTTGCTGAATGTCTCCGCAGTGTAATGTTATGCAAGGTGCATGTCGTCCATTGTAGTGGAGCAGACCTCCAGTGTGCAGTAGTGACACATGGCAGTGAGCGTTTAAAGTTCGATGATTGGACAAAGGCTCTTTAAGAAGAGCAGACAGGCTCACAGAGGAACCCAGCAGAGAGATGATCAGAGAGACGGGCCGCTGTCAGCGCGCTGCCCAAGCTGTCTGGAGACAAACCTCAATACAACAGGCGAGACCACCCAGCTGAAGGGTACCCCCTCCAACAGCACAGGACTGTTAAACCACATCAAACACAGCAAGCTGCTATCTGCAAAGATTTCTGGTTAGTGTGATCGCACACACCTTTTTATTCTCCTACTCTGTTTTTGCTCACATGTATCACAAACAATTATTGTCATTAATATGCTTTTCCTATATTGAGTTTCTTGTGTTGTGTGTAATAAAATTTGCACTTTTGAAAGGCCCTTTTGATACACATCTTCTCCCACAGTTTGCTACCAAAACTGTTCACATGTGCAATCAGGATTTTTCTTCTTTTTAGTGAGTCACATCAGATCAGCTCTTCTGGCTTTTATAATTTAGCCAAGTTCAGCAATATTTCCACCTATGATTATATTAGCGCATAGATCACCTAAATTATTCAATATAATTATATGAAATCTTATCATTTACAGAATACTGACCTACTACTAATTACCAAAGTAAAATGTTTCTGCATTGTATTTAACAAATATGTTATAGGGCTATTACATTATTGTCTTGTATTAATTTATAAGAAAATTAAAAAAAGATAGAAATTAAAAATAAACTGGAGTCTGCTCTTGCCACTCACTTAAAGGAGCCAATTCGTTCACAAAGACACATCACTATAGCTGGGTGCTATGACATTTCTTATTAATTGTTATACTCTTTGACTTGCGCAATAAAGTCTGTGGAGGCACACTCAGTCCTATTGTGTGATAACCTGCAACTGTGCACAACCTCATTCTGATGACCTGCAGCCTGTTCCACCAGCTGTGAGTAAGTTCAAACTTAGCCTGGTTATAATGTAAATTATCAGTTGTGATTTATGCATTACTAAAACAAAAGCAGTTGCATCGCGGAGAAAAACTAGTAACAACTAAATAGTTACACATCCTCTTGGCTGGTGTAAATTATAAAAATGGCATAGAATAAAAAAATCATCATGAAATGAAACAATTAGGAAATTAACATAATAGCCTGAATAATGCCAACTTTACCCATTATTTTAGTGTAGTGGTTTTAATCCTAAAATCCTCATTTCAATAATGTAATGTTGCATAGCAAGTCTGTCTCTTGTTTCAACTGTTTATTGCTGAAACTGGAAGCATTTAGACCAGTACAGACCCTGGTTGGTTGGTTACCACTGATTCATACATGTTGGTAATTAAGATTCATTAACTGCATTTTACAACATAATAATATATAAAACATATACATCATATAATCATCATCATATAATATTTACATCATTATAAAAGAATTTAGTCAGAATTTTCTAAAAGGGGGTAAGGGGTGTGCTGGGGAACCAGGACTCATGATTTTCTGGCCCACACTGTGTGTATAATAATATAGGTCTATATTCTGCTAGTAAAAACGTTTTATGGAGGGTAAAAACAGTGTGTGCACTATACCACAGCTTTCAGGGGAGCTCACCTTTTCGGCTGTTGCAGGGGGATATATTTTCTGATCTGAAGTTAATGATATTGGAGCTTCAGTGGTGATGGCAAGAATAAAATTATCCTTAGTTGGGTTAGCATTAGTGATGTGTCACCCTCTGGAATTGTATGTTTACACATAATCCAAAAATAGAAATGCATGGCAGAAATAGCATATTGCAGTCCACCCAGGAAGTCCCTCCAATTAACACAAATTCAACCAATCCCTGCCTCACTGAAAAAGGTTTCCTTCAATTTTTAATAAATTACTTCATTTTCTCCTGCAATTTCATTGCAAAAAAAAATAAAAAATAACCAAAACATCTCAACATGCATCGCAATTGTCTAGAAAAAAAGAAACGGACATTTTATCCCCAGGGATTATGGGATTGTTGCGGCCTAAAATGATATTGTCAGTATTTTAGAGAAATCACGTTTTCAGGGGAGCTCGTAACTTATGAAGAGGTGCTGAGCTCCCCCTGGCTCCCCTGTAGTTGGCACCTTGAGTAAACCCTGGGAGATTTCATGATGTCATATAGAAATCTTTCTCATCTTTCTTAAATCATTATCATTAAAATGCATTTTTTGCCACACCTCTGCGACCCTACTTGAACACTAGGGACATCGTTTAACTCGAAACACTAATAAATTGTGACTAAATTAACAAAGGCACGGCTATAACGACAGCAACGGCTTCAACGTGGTTTGTTTTTTGGCTTTTTTAATAATAGGCTGCTAACATTTTCCCTCCACCACCAGCGAACACATTCCGCCGTGAATGGCCCACTGAGCCCCAGCAGCAGGTGTAAGAAGGAGCACGGTCTCACCGCTGGTAGTCGGCCCTGCAGTACAGTCTGGACTCTCTGCAGTAGCAGGTGGCGGTGAGCGGCTGCTGGCACGCGGCGCACTGCAGGCAGTCCTCGTGCCAGGACGCGTCGTTGACCCGCATCAGGAAGCGGTCCGAGATGATCCGCGTGCAGCCCTCGCACACGGCCTGCTGGGGGGAGTCAGCACCTGAGAGTGAGAGGGGGGGGGGACCGGTTGCTTTAATGTAACAGCAGAGAGGAGGACAAACCTTCAAAGCGTGGTCTTATGTGCACGTGCGCTGCATTATATACAGCACGAGGTGTATTCTGAGGGTCCGTTTTAAAAGGTAAAAGGTATAAAACTAACCAAACTGAGTGTGAACCCTGGCTGCAGAGGTCCTGGATTCGAGTCTAATTTGTGGCACTTAGCTCGCTCTCATCCCCTCTCTCACCCCCTCCCCTGTCCTCTCCAATTAAACCTAAAGATATAGAAATATAGGCCTACTACTGAGCCCCCCCTCTAACATGATTAGATAAACCATTAATTCATAAAAAATACTGAATCTTACAATGACTGTCCTTTGTTACTAGGATTTAGTACATGGTTATCTAACCAATTGGTTGTTTTATCTGCTAATAATAAATGGAATGTGTTCTTCATAACTAATAAATAGGCTATAAATAATGCTGGCTATTCAAATGAAAGCAAAAGCCATAACTGTCATGCATTTAGCATTTGGTATAACGTCATTGTATAGATTTTATATTATATACATTTATCTCCGGATTTGATTTGTTTCTCTTTATGATATTTTTTATTTCTCCTTTATTTGCTTGTTTGTATATTGACTTGTTTGTTGGTTTGTATATGTTTGTTTAAACCGCATTGGTATTCATTAGTTGTATCATAGTATTATTAAATTAATTGAATTAGTACAAAAATATACAAGACTCAGTTTTATCAGGGAGGAGAAATGGGGACTGGTCTATTTCTTGGGTAGGAGAACTCAGTGCTCACACTGAGCTCTGAGGATCAGGCTATCGAGAGTAACATGGAGAGTCCCAATTTGTGAAAAGGGCTGTTTTTAAAATGTCCGTTAGCTCAACAAACTGAGGCCGGCATTTCAGACAAAGATCTGCAGTCACCAACAAATAAAACTTAACTGTGTCTGTGAGTATTTTACATTTTTTTTAAGTGTTTCACAGAGAGAGAAACAAAAACTCATACAAAGCCCCAACAGAGGCTTTCACCTCGAATTTCCCCTTGACTGTGTCATGCAGTAAATAAAAGGAACAATAGGCTACAGAACCTGATATTTACCCATCCGCTTTATATTTCCCCCTCATTTCTTTCTTGCTCTCCTTTATAATATAATGAGGAGCAACATCACAAATGTGCACCAATGTGGCCTTTATGTGGCCAGTCTCATCAGTCATCGTCAATATCAGTCACTATGGCGACATCAAACATCAGTTATTATATTTCACTATAAGCATTCATTTACACCTGAGAACACTTCCTAATTCCATTTGTAAGAATGAATTAACACGCTCCATGCAGTTTAAAGTAGAGGAGTGTATGAACAGTAAAAACTGAATTTATTTGGAATTATTCTGTATTTAAACAGGCATAATTCCAACAAAACAATAACTCCTACACAGTATTGTTTTTATTGAGATGGTATATGATAATAGTCCTTAATCATACTCTATATCCTTACTCAAATGCATTTTTCCACTTTTAACAGTGTGGCCTTGATTTAAAAATCAGAGACATTTAACATTAGAAAAAAAGAAAACAGTAAAACAATATACCCTAAATATAACATTTAATTATATAAATAAAAACAATATTTGTGAACTGGGTTCTAGCAATGGCGGGTAGAAATTAATAAATAAAAAAAACAGGGAATTCAAGGGAAAATTAGACCCAGAAAAAAACATTTTCAAATAAACGTTACACTTTTTCAAACCTTAAACTGAATTCTGTTCACACTGATCTCAAACCGGATTCAGCACGAGAGAAACTCACCGTTAAGAACGTCCAGACAGCTCGCATCAGTCCGCAGACGGTCCTCTATCTTAATGTCGTTCAGCATCTTTAAACCGCTCCCTGCAGCACCGTCAGATCCCGGACTGTGTGTGCTCGCTGATCCTCTACAGCCTGCGACAGCAAGGGGTAAAACCAGTGCGTAAAATCCGCAAAGTTGAAACCAAGTTTCCAAGAAAGACCCGCAGAGGAGGAAAACCATCAGCTGATGTAAATCCAGAGGCGCGGAGTGAAAAGGGTCCGCGAGTCCTGAACTCGATGTGCCATCCTGAGCTCGAGACTCCCTCTCAAAGAGGGAGCAGTGGAAACAGAAACCCTCCTCCTCCCCCTCCCGCCCCAGCCCTCCACAGACCACTTTCTCCACGCGCTGCAGTCTGGATGGATTCCGCCTCCCGAGGGCTGCACAGTGGTCGCGTCCTGGGAGGGCTGGCCTGTTAGAAAACCAGATATCCGACCAATGTACTTCAGCAGGGAACTGAAACGTGATGGTTTTAAAGAACCCCTTTCACACCGTTAATGCCTCCTTTAAAACGTTGTCCTCCAGCAGGGCCTTGATTGACATATATAGAGGGGTGCAATTATTATCTTGCCTCTACACGATCGGCTTCCCCAAACATGATTTTCTTCAGTTTCGTCAATTACACTAATTTTAGGCACTCTTTCAAAATACAACGGAATAATCTCTTCTTTCCTGCCATGGGGCACACAGAACTCTCAACCACTCAATCCATGGGGGTAGATTCCAGCAAAGGTGGCAATGGAGGAAACTGTAAAGGGCCGGTGTTCTGGAAACTTCTTGCCTGAATTTAATTACACAAACACAATCCATATTTGCACATGCTTAGAAGAGCCCCCCAGAGATTTCCAAACTTCAGAAACGCTTTTTGTAAGGTAAACAATTAGACCAAACCTATCTAAAAGGGTGGCATTAAGAAATCAATATGTTGTTAGAGTACATTTTCGGAATCTACCAGACATTTTTTTAAACACAATTATTTTTTCATCAATCTGTTACTTGAAAATGGATGGGCCTAATTTTTGACTCATACGTTTAGGACATTAAAAATAAAAGAATAATCCTTTCTCCACCAGTCTTATTTTGCTAGTGGAAGCATATATACTGGTT